CATCCTAGCCTCAACTGTCAATGTAGCAGATATGGGCATCTGCCTACCATCTACTACCCTCAACTGTAAATGTAGCAGATATGGGCATCTGCCTACCATTACCTTCCCTCAACTGTAAATGAAGAAGATATAGGTATGAGCCTACTATCCACTACCCTCAACGGTAAATGTAGCAGATATGGGTATCTGCCTAACATCTTCTACCCTAAACTGTAAATGTAGCAGATATGGGTATCTGTCTACCATTCCCTACCCTCAACTGTACCATCCCCTACCCTGTGGGTATCTTCCTACCATCTCCTACCCTCATGTAAATGTAGCTGATATGGGTACCTGCCTACTATCTTCTACCCTCAACTGTCAATGCATCAGCTATAGGTATCTGTTTACCATCCCCTACCCTCAACTGTAAATGTAGCAGATATTGGTATCTGCCTACCATCCCCTACCCTCAACTGTCAATTTAGCAGATATGGGTAACTGCTTACCATCTCCTACCCTGAACTGTAAATGTAGCAGATATGGGTATATCCCTACTATCTCCTACCCTCATCTGTCTATGTAGCAAATATGGGTATCTTCCTACCATCTCCTACCCTCAACTGTAAACTTAGCAGCCTAGACACTGTCCGCTTTTCGTTCCTACCCTCAACTTTAAATGTAACATCTATAGGTGCGATTCGCTACCATCTCCTACCTTTAACTGTGAATATAACAGCTATAAGCCATGTCCGCCTACTATTCCCAACCCTCAACTTTGAATGTAACCACTGGGCACTATATGCCTACGTAACTTCCCCTATCTTCAACTGTAAATGAATCAATTAGGCGCTATCCGCCTACCATGCTCTACCTGTATCTCAACAGCGATGTCTTAGTAGCTGAAAGCAAACCCGTATAATGATGATTTTATTATTTAAAGTTTAAAAACATAATCAACACATTATTGAAATACTTAAAACTGATTATATTATATTCATTATAGGTTTGTATACAGTAGCTGATATTTAACTTAAGTATTTCCAATTAACCATGTTCACCTTTTAAACTATTGCTTTGCCATTTTTGGCTAATTGTTAAGTGAGTTCAAGTACACGTACGTATAAAACCAATTCATTTCAAATTAATTTGTCCATACCAAATAAATGCTATAAATGTATATAAGATCCCTCTGGGTATATGACAATAATGCTTTATTTCAAACTCTGGCCCGCAGCACATATACATATGTGTATATGTCTCTGATCAATATACCAGATTTACGGACAAGCATCATGTAAATATAAATACCATTTCCTCTCAAATTACATTTAGAAAACAATATTGAATTATAATATTCTAGGTGCATATGGCTTTAATAATTGGCTGAAATATTTTGTTATATATCATAAATGCAATATCTCAGGATAAATGAGCTTCCCTATTGTTCTTTCTATTTCATGAAGTGCTTTTTGGTTTCCAAGTGCCATCACTATAGGCCATAGTGTTAAGTGTTCGCCAAAGTGGGTTTTCTCCCAAAGCCGGAAAATACCAAATCCTTAAAAATGATCAGCAATTGGGGTTATCGCAACAACTGGTTAACCCGTTGTCAGTATAATGTGACCGGCTGGAATACTGTGCTCAGGTGCCTTTGGTATGGTATTTCAGCGAGGTAGCACTCTAAATTTGGCAACAGGTTCGCGCCATCAACATACCCTGCCTCCAGCACACATACAAGCACGCATACGTTACACACATGGAGGCAAGTCCTAAAAATGACCTTACATACATGTAGCTGTTATAGGACGTCGTTTAACAAAACAAGAGGCCCATGGGCCTTAACGGTCACCTGAGTTATGTAAAAACTGATGTTATCGATGTTGCCAAATGAAAAAGAAATCATTTTGTAACCAAGGTAACTTGAAACTGCATGTAATGCAAAAGTAATGTGAAAGATCTGGGTAGTATATGTACTATGTACAAATAGTGGTTCTGTCAGTCAGCTGAATTTTGGTAAAGCACCTTATGCCCCTTCCATCTATGAAGAGTATTTGATTCTACCATATCTGGATCTTGAAGATTTTTGAAATTCACAGGAGTGAAATAGGTAGCCGGTTTCCTGAAGTACAGAATAATGGACACATGTGACTTAGTGCTAAAAAACAACTGAATTAATGCCTGGATTGCTTTGAAATACTTTAATATTGAGAGAACACACTGTTCTGTCAATAATAAACATACAATATTCATCAGTTTAATATTAAACATAAGAAAATATCCCGAAATTGTGATACCGTCTCCCTACATTGGATTTTCAACTAGGGATATACTTCCAATTTCCATTTATCAATACACTCCTATGACCTTAAGACCCTTCCATCAATGAAGAGTATTTGATTCTACCATATCTGGGTCTTTAGTAGAAGATTTTTGAAATTTTAGTCAAATCAACCCTTTTTGGCCCCACCAGCCCCTGGGGGTCAGTAAGGGCTGATATGTGCATACCACCAAACTGCTATCCAATACTGATAATGCTAACCAAGTTTGAATTAATTCCGATGGAAGTTAAACAAACGTTGGTCCAAAATGTGATTTCCCTATATATAAATCATAGTAAAGTTTATCCCCTATCCAGGGGGAAATGTGAGACCCCAGGGTCATGGAATTCACTATTTTGGTAAAGCACCTTAAGACCCTTCCATCTATGAAGAGTTTTTGATTCTACCAAATTATCTTGGTCTTTAGTAGAAGATTTTTGAAATGTCAGTCAATCCGACCCTTTTTGGCCCCACCCATAAGCCCCTGGGGGTCAGTAAGGGCTTATTTGTGCATATCATCAAACTGCTATCCAAAACTAATAACGCTAACCAAGTTTGAATTAATTCCAATGGAAATTAAACAAATGCTAGTCCAAAATGTGATTTCCCTATATAAACTAAAGTAAAGTTTACCCCCTCCCCAGGGGGAAACGTGAGACCCCCGGGTCATGAAATTCAATATTTTGGTAAAGCATCTTAAGACCTTTCCATCTATGAAGAGTATTTGATTCTACCATATCTTATCTTGAGAAGAAGATTTTTGAAATTTTAGTTAATTTGACCCCTTTTTGCCCCGCCCCTCAGGCCCCGGGGGGCTGGGGACCATATAATTTAGTTTTGGTTGACCTTTGGCCATGGAAGGTTTCTGCAAAATTTCATTGAAATTGGTTCAGGGGTTTTGGAGAAGTCGAAAATGTCAATTGTTTACGGACGCACGACCGACGACGCACGACGGACAAAAGGCGATCAGCAATAGGTCACTTGAATCTTTGTCTCAGGTGACCTTATATAAACCGTACCAATCGTTTCTCTTGACAGGATGGCGCCAAATTGCACATGAAATCTTCCTAATTGTGACGTCATTAAGCCATTTGTTTTGAAGTATAATTCTCCTTTAAAGCAATTGCAAGTGCTTGTAGCTTTTCATCGCAATCTTACAGAGATGGATGAAATACACTTAACAGTAAAAGACCGTAACTAGGAATTTACATATCTGAAAAGAAATAAGGAGCAACATATATATCATTTAATAGGATTGCATAGGGCACATGATGGACGAGGGAAAATCCTTAATTGTCTAAATAGGAATTTTATTTAATATCGTGCATTAATCATATATCATTTTCTCATCCAATTTTTAAAGGTTCACTCAAGAAAAAAAAATCAGAAAACAATACATAAAATAAAACAAAAATATAACGCCTCCTCCCCCGAAATGGTGACATACTGATAACGTTAGGCCTTGCATGCAGTAGGCCTACTACTGATTACCCTGGGTTATATATAGCTATAGCCGATCCCCAGCCTTTATGATTTATAATGTCAGCAGTTGAGTGATTCGGGAAAAGCTTCATAATCTAAACGTTGTGAATAAAACGCAGTTAGAAAATAGGAGCACAATCTTTCAAAATATAATATATATCACTTGTAATGAAGGTTAGGCAATCGACATACTGTGTCGACTACGTAAGCGGTTTGGTTGGTGATGTCACCGTGTTCTGCGAATCTAATTTGTGGTTGGTTCCCATAATGCCCTTAAACCCCACCCAGCACTGTCAAATTGACGTATGGTTTTCAGAGATGATATGTCGGCTAAAGAGAAAAATACGACAATTTCAATGTGTGATTGTGTCGATTTGGGGAATTTAAGGGATCCGAGTGTTGTCTAGGCACACTGCACCCACCTTATAGTGGCCTAGGGCGCAGTTGTGACCGAAGATTATTCGCATAGCCTAATCGGCAGGGTATTCGACGCCTAGTGTTCACCCAAAACAGGCAAAATTTCGTCCCTACTTTTCACGATGGGGTGCTGTGGTGGACCGGGCGGCCCAAGTGACGAAGACGAAAAAATCAAGAAAGAAGCTAATAAGAGGATAGAAAAACAACTGCAGAAGGATAAACAACTATACAGAGCCACGCATAGACTCCTGTTATTAGGTAGGTATCTCTTATTCTTGAGCCGGAATACCGCTTTCTTCTGATGGTACTGCGACCTGATCTTACCCACAACCATTGTGGTACGACCCGTAATCAGATTTTTTTCTGTTTCTTCTGCAGGTGCCGGAGAATCAGGGAAATCGACAATTGTCAAACAAATGAGAATTCTTCACGTGAATGGCTTTGGACAAGAGTGAGTACCATATTGTATACGTTATATTTTGTTTACATGTCGTTCTGTATATGTACACAACTCGTTATCGACATTCATAGCTAAATGTTTATGTATGCATGGCATTATCGAAACATATTGGTATGGGGGTGATAGGTAAGAAAAGAATCGGCAATCATTAATTTTATGCTAAAATTCGTGTTCTTCATTAATTTCAGAGAACGGAAACAGAAGATCGAAGACATAAAAAAGAACATAAGGGATGCAATACTGGTAAGTTTCCCCGAAAACATAATTCCATGTTCATTGATTAGACTGGTCTCCATCTTGGAAAATGGCGACCATTACAGTGTCTGATTGAAACTTGCACTGGCACTTCCCGGTACGACAAGCGTTTCATTTTACAACTATTCAATATAGAGGCTCCTAATTGTTTCATAATTTTATAATCTGTTGAAAGCAAATGAACTGGCATAAATCTTGACCTGTCTATAAGGTTAGATCACAGTATGTCTAGTAGAACTACACTGAAAATGAAATAGTTTTTGACATCTCAGCTGCCTGGATGATTGACAATCAACATAATTTCATTGTCGGAAGAAAATATTTCCATATGATTCTACGTAGGTTCTGATGCGAGTGAATAAATATCAATACATCTGTCTACATTGTCATTGTTTTCTGAATTCATTGGCTGATCAATGTCATGCCATGCTATAATTTAATTTTCTGTCAACAGATAACCATTTTTGAATATGCATATATGTATATATATAAGTTACTTGTCATGTTTACCAAGATCAGTGTTATCACAAAGTTTTGGAATAGGTGGTTGACTTGAAAAGAATAACTGACTGAATGTTAACATGCCATACCCCATAATGTTGATCTGAATATATTCTGAAAAAATAGCCAGTTCAAAGTTGATGAATAGCAGGCAACTGGCTTTTAATGAGAACACTACAAGAACTGATCTGTAATCAGTTGTAAGATAGGATCTAGTGAGGTCTTAACATATTATATGAATCTGTATCAATATCATTGCATGTTTTTGATAATAGTGTAGCGGAACTGGAGCGTCTGTCTAGAGTTCGGAGGGTCACAGGTTCAAACCCTGTCTGGCCATGCATTTTTCCTCTCCTGTTACAGTGGTGCCTGTGACCAACCCTTGTTTAAAGCATTTCGTGTATGCTTGGCAAGGGGATACACAAACCTGGCTTGTCAATAGAATTTTGTGTCTTGGTGGGGGCGAACACTTAGAAAAAGGAGAGGAATGTAGCGGAACTGGACATGGTCGATCGTCAGCGACCAGGTAGCTCAATTGGTAAAGCGTACGTCTAGAGTTGGGAGGGTCCCGGGTTCAAACCCTGGTCTGGCCGTGCGTTTTTCCTCTCCTTCCTGTTACAATAGTACATTATACCCATCTCTTGAATAAGGCTTGTGGAAGCACACCTGACCAGGGTTGTAAAATTTCATTTTTTGTAATAGGATGCAGGAAGATCTAAAAACGAAAATAAACAACTAGATGCCCAACTTGAATTTGCATACTTATGAAGCGGAACTGGACTGGGTTGATCGTCGGCGACCAGGTAGCTCAATTGGTAGAGCTTTTAGTCCAGAGTTTGTAAGGTCCAAGCTTTAAACCCTGGTCTGGCCATGCATTTTTCCTCTCTCCTGTTACAGTGGTGCCTGTGACCAACCCTTGTTTCAAGCATGGGTTGTATGCTGGGCAAGGGGATAACCAAACCTGGGTTGTAAATAGTTGTCTTTGAGGCGAACACTTAGAAAAAGGAGGGAGGAATGCAGAGGAATTGTTACAGTGATTTTTATGCTCAGTTTTACTGTCAAGTACATACAGGCTGTTTACCCTAGGTAAAAAGTGCCCTATTTTCCTAAAATGACAAAAAAATGAGGAATATATTCACAATTCCTGATTTCAAGACAAATAATGCTATTTCCCCCCAATTTATAAAGGAACAGGTTGTTCAAAAAATTAGGTAACACAAACATTGTTGTAACAGTTAATTATATTATTTTTTTTTAGCCCTGACAAATCCTCTAGCCCCAAGCGTTAGGCTGAAGTTTTTCACATCTGAGCATTGATGGGTTTGATATATCCTGCTGAATCTGTTTAACAGACATTTTATGAATTGGTTATGCTGAGTTAAAAATAGATTGGCAACAGGAAAAGACAACCAGTTTTCATCTGTTTTTGGTTGACTGTTACAGTGTCAGTGGTGCACTTTGTTTGAACAGCTGATCTGTGTGACACATTAACCTTGGATTTATGTGCAAAAATAATAATGATGACAAACTTTTTTCAGCTGTTATACATGATGCAAAGAATATTCATCTGAATGTTTGATTGAAAATTACTGCAGCCAATGCAAGTTCAGTATTGAACAAAGCAGATCACATTATAAACAGTTTTTGCAATAAGGTACAAATTATATGTGCAGTCTTGGATGACATTTAAAAAAAAATCAAAATTAGTAGTGATTGGTTTGGGTGCCACATTAATTTATTTGAGTCACAGAAGTTTTGGCGCACTTATGTGTATTATTGTGCTCATGCCTGTCATAATTTTGAGATAATGTTGCTGTGAGTACAATAGAAATGACATTAAAAAAGGTTTATGGCTCGGAGTCCAGATATTTGGCCAGTAGATACATTAAGAACAATCCCTGAGATGACAAGTCATTCACTGTTCCCCACAGGGGCATTTGTGTTTTCGGGATCAGTCTTTTTAACAAAATTAGGAAAATTGCATTTTCAAAAACACTTAAATGGGAATATATATGTCATTACATTTAACATAAAACTAAACTATTTTCTTGATTATGGAAAAAAAATGTAGAAAAATATGGCAAGTTATGATTTTTTATATGTATTTTTTTCAATACTTTTGTGATAATAAGTGCTTAAAAGTCAGTTGAACTAGGTTTTACATCAGAAATATATTTGCAATACAAGGGTAGATAAGGAACCCTGAGCATATTTTTGGTATACATGTCCAAGAGTCCAAACATCTTCTACTGTTGTATTGCCAAATAGTTCATAACCTCAGTGTTGGTTATCATATTTGAAAAAATCGAGTATTACATGTTTCATCTTTTGTTTCAGACCGTCACAGGAGCTATGAGCTCTTTGAATCCCCCAGTTCTATTGGAAAAACCAGAAAACCAGAGCAGGGTTGATTACATGCAGGAGCGTGCCAGTCAGCCTGACTTTGAATATCCACCGGTATGTATTGCAAGGAAGGTTTAAGAGTGGCTCCATTATGATCGATTATCATAACACTGATGCGATGATTGATTATGAACTTGTTTAACCATTGATTGAATCATGTATTTTTTTGGTAGGTTAAGCAAGTTGACAGTCCAGAATAATGATATCTTGTTCCATTATTCGACAAATTCTAGATAAGAATTTCCTTCAGTAGAAGTTGGCAAGCCTCTTATTAATAAAATGTGTGTATGCATCAGGGCTCCTAAAAACGATTGCAAAGAAGCGACACTTTTTCAGATTGCGCAACAAAATCAGTTTGGCAATCAAAACAGAACACACTATTTGTATGATGCTTTAGTAATAAATATTTAAAATAATTCAGGAGGTTATCCTCCAATCACATGATCAGTCACATTGATCTTGTGTTTTACGTTGAGTTCGAAGTGCGATTAACATGCACACTAGGCCTAGCGATTAGAAAACAGAAAACCAACAATAAAACTAACATGGAATGGAGTCTATAATTGAAAAACTGCATTTCATAACTATGGAGAAAAACCCAACTAAGATGTAGAAATGTAAGTTGGTCGGCGATTCTCTGGCATCAGAAGCTACTAAACTTTCCTCATTTGGTTTATACTGGAACCGACAGTTTCTGCTGGAATTGAGCAGACAAATAAGATAATGCCACCCAGTGATGTTGTCCTCAAACCTAACAGATATTTAGCCCAAATTGGACAGCTGTGGTTAAGGTATATATAAATCCTGACAAGATGATGATATATTGTGACAGTGCATCAAGGCTAGAGTTAAATTGTTGGACATTTAAGACTTTGGTGCTCAGCAAAATTATAAGACAATACTATAAGTACTGTATTTTACCGGCAATAAGCCCCCTCTCGCAAATAAACCCCCTCCCCCAAATAAGCCCCCTCCCCACTTTGGTAAATGTAACAGGGTGGGTGCCTGCCATTAAGCCCCCCCCCCCCCCCTTAAAAAAGGACATTTTGAATCATAACCAATTGTTGGACTCCTATCTTTTTGCAGGTGAAAAATGTGAAGTCGTTTGGAGAAAAAACATTTACTTGTGTCTACAACACAATTATAAAATGACAATTGGTTAATTAGACCACATGTACGGTTCAATTGTAACAACAACTTGTGATCACTGATTAGACACTTGTGGTTTTAGACACATCAAACCCCACACTGAAAAAACAATAGCGTCGCTGTGACACGTTGAGGAGATTCTGATATGTTGAGTTCCGAGCTGTATTCAGAGTCTAGTTTATGATTAAATCATCGATTAAAAATTTGAAGAAATAAATCTACTCAAAATGTATCAATGTCAATGTCCAAATCCGCCACACCTGCAGACGACATGTGCGCCTCGGTCCTCCGATATTTTCCTGTTTGCGTAGGGCACAAAGCCGTTCATTGGAAAGTAACATATTATGTTACACCGAAGTATTTCCACATCAACCATGTCAAACCCTTCAAAACCTTTATTATCATCGTAGGTGACACTGGAGAATAAATGTTTACCATCATATTCATCGCTTCAATCTACAAGTCTGCCATTTTTATTCGATTTGAATTTCTCTCGCACACCTTTGGTCATTACTAGGGTTCACTGCCAGGAATATCGAAAGTAATGACAAAACAACCAATCGAAGCCTTCTACTATACACGTTCGGGTTTGGTATAGCAACAACCTGAGTTCACACTTCCAGGGCCGTTTTCGTTTAAACGGTCAAACCGGTCGGACCACTGTTGTTCGTTTATTAAATAAGGTCGGACCTAGTAATCTGATGCTGCTTTCAGGTGAGCCTTGACAAAGCCATGCAAGGCCTGCATACACATTTGCAGGTACACCAGGGTTTATACCCGAAATTGTTACATTTATAAACGGTCAAATCCGTTGTTCCGCATAAACGAACAGGCCCCTGGCTACGAATAAAAACCTACAGACCATATGCCGTGCGTAGCAGCCTAAAGGTTAACAAACATGAAATTTTATTTGTGTCTTTTGGTTATTTGTGCAGGAACTGTGCCAAGTGAGCTTATGCCGTGGCGCAGGGTCTGGCGTCAATATTTTACTTTAAACCACTTCTTCTTAATAACCGGAAGGCCTAGGGTGATGATATTTGGCCAGAAGCAAACTGTAATGAAGGGCTACAAAGTTTGTTCAAATGAATGACCTCCACCTATATTCAAGGTCACAGTGGTCAAATATGTCAAAAACATTAAACAACTTCTTCTGAATAACCAAAATGCCCAGGGTGATGATATTTAGTCAGGCAATCATATTCAAGGTCACAAGGAGCAAATATGTTCAAAATATTCAAACAACTTTTTCTGAATGACCAAAAGGCTCAGGATGTTGATATTTAGTCAGTAGCATGCTGGAATCAAGGACTACTATGTTTGTTAAAGTGAATGACTTTGACTTATATTCAAGGTCACAGGGGTCAAATTTGTTTAAAATCTTTAAACGACCTCTTCTGAATAACCATGGGTCCCAGGATGTTGATACTTTGCAAGTTGCATCCTGAGATGAAAGGCTATAAAATTTGTTCAACATAATGACTTTGTTCGACTTTCAATCACAGGGGTGAAATAATTTAAAAAAAAAATAACAGGGTCTTTTGAATGAATTTAAATCATAAATACAGATATTTTGCCTGTAGCTTTATTTTAGATCACTTTTAAGGTTACAAGTGTGAGATTTATACCAGGTGAGCGATGTAGGCCCATTGGGCCTCTTGTTTGTATGTTTTTATGAAGCAAAGTCGTTCAGAACTTAGCACAGAGTCAACTTACCAAAGGTCAAGGTTACAGGTTCCAAAGGTTCAAGGTCAAGGTCTAGTTTTGTATTTCACTGATGAACATCTTGTTATGATTTTATGAAGAGAAGTTGGTCGGAAATGAAGAATGAGTCAACTGACCAAAGATCAGGGTCACTGGGTTAAAGGTCAAAGTCATTTAGGTCCGAAGGTCAAAGACAAAGTGGATCTCTTACTTTGACCCTGGCTCTTGATTGGGGAAGTATTTAAGGTGAAATAAAACAAATCAAAGCTAACAAATGAGTATTGCACCGGTATTAACATTTCTGTTCTGTTAGCCCAGCAAATATGGAAGTGGAAGGTAAAATGTATATATTGCTTCCTTGCGATTTTTTTTGAAGTCCAAATGTCAAACGTCAAGTTCAGCTATATGGGCAGATTGCTTCTTGATGATTATGGGGGATATATTGCCACAAGACGGGGCCCTTATTGACCTGTCAGTGTTCTAGTTTCACCTACGTTGACCAAACTTGCTAAAGTTTTAATGTATCTTGGGTAAGTAGGAGTGTCAAATTCTTAATTCGGGTCTCGTGTCCCACTATATAAAGCGATATGGACTGTTGTTAATTTTTTATACCAGAGTTTTTCTATCGGCTAATAAGGGGAGACCTATGTTTTTGTTCGCAAAAACAAAATTCTAGTTCTGAATTGAAACTCGCATTACAGTCCATCTCCGTTATCTTGCACATGTATATAGTTTCTGACCGCGAACCGGAGAGTTTTGCCAACAACATTCACATTCCTAGTAAAATGCGGAAAACATTAAATAATTGTTTGTTTTAGATAGTTTGTCCATTACCTTAACATATAACCAGCAAATCATTTAGTATATTATTCAAGGCTGTATTAATGGATGTACATGTATCAATGAACCTTACCATCGCTATCACTGAAGTGATGCATAATTTACCAATTAAACGAGTATTACATAGTAATATGCAGTTTGATTATAATTCTATCCAATCAACTTAGTACTGAGGGATTAGATGAGATGACGTAGGTGGTCACGTGGTCAGTCTTCAAAGTATCGATGAATACATTATGTTCTAATCAGAAAAAGTGTGTTATTTTTGATACCAAAAAATCATAAGTATGTCACCCATGAATTTCTGATTAGACAATCACATCAATGGGAGGGTAAATGGGTGGGCATCTAATCCCTCAGTACTAAGTTGATTGGATAGAATTATAATCAAACTTCATATTACTATGTAATACTCGTTTAATTGGTAAATTCTATCCAATCAACGTACTGAGGGATTACATGAGTATTTAGAGATAATGTGTTCATCGATTGATAGCAAACATAAATAATCTTGAATACAAAATTAAATAAATTTGAACAAACACATTTGTTTGGTTTTGTTGTTAACCATCGCAACAATTTCTTTTATATAAAACTTGAAGAACATGTAAAACTCAACAACATTATAACATTATCAATTTTCTTGTAATACTTGTATCAAAATATATAACACTATTAACAGTAATTTGTACCCATACAGTTCCTCTGTATCACACATTTTTTAACAGTCCATCACTGAATGAGATGCCATGACCTTTCAAATTGTCTACCAAGTGTTTCCTATAAAACTTGTGAAAAGTGTTGGCATTCGACCATCCTGCTGTTTTTAAAATAGCGTCCAGCGGTACTCCCGCATGAAGTGCTGCACTCGAAGCAGCAGCCCTGGTTGAGTGTGCTGTAAACTTTTGGGTGTCCACCCCAGCTAATCTCATAATGTTTTTTATCCATCGACTGATAGTGTCTCAGCTAACTGCCTTGTATGGCTTCATGGTACTAATAAAAAGTTTTGTCCCCGAACGAATATCTTTTGTAACTAAAAGATAACAGCTAAAATTCTAACTAAACACACACTAGGTTCATTATATGCAGGCAAAGATATATTCTGTAAATGACTACCTGGTCTACTCGTTTTCAACACAGAAGAATACATTATTTCTACACTATTTCTACTTATGCTAACATCATCTAAAATGGAGAAATAATTCTGTCTTTGGGGAAATATTCTCAAAAAATGGGGAAATTGTGCGTCATGTGTAAACTTTTTACATATTTAACTTCTTCTCAACAACTAGGGGATGGATTTTTTTCATACTTGTTCAGAATCATCCTTGGTAGATGAGGCTACAAAATTGCAAAATTGGGATTCCTACCCCAACCCCTAGGGCCAGGGCGGGGCCCCAAAGGGAAAATTAACCAATATTTAAAAAATCTTCTTCTCCAGACTCGTACTACAGTCATTTTCTCTTAATGGAAAGAAAGATCATCAGGGGCTTAACTTAAATTGTAAATTTCAGGACCCCCGAGCTATTCGTTCTCCCTTGGGGAGGGTGTAAAGTTTACTATAGTTTATCTAGGGAAATAAAGCTACCAGTACCTATAATATAACTCAGGTGACCGCTAAGGCCTCTTGTTATTTTTCAATTGGATTAAAAAACATGTTTATACAGGTTTCAAGATATTATATGTGCAATGTTCAAAGTATTACCGACTGTGAAGGAGTATCAAAAAAACGAAAATTTGTAGTTGAATGAACATAAACATTGAAAATTGATGTTTGCTTATTGTTTTACTATAAGAAACGGCTAGAGGAAAGCGTCTTACTAATCACATCGCAGGTTATATTTTCCAAACTTTTGTAATTTTCCCATATCTGTACATGTGCAAACACTGATGATATTTCCCTTTTGTTGCCAAATATTGATGATATTTTCCCAAAATAGCTGGCGAAAACTTAACAATAATGTTTACTCTGTACATAATCTTGACTAAGTTCAGCTTTTTATGTTATGGTGCAGCGTCACTCGTCCATCAACTTTTCCTTTAAACAACTTCTTCTGAAGAACGGACAGGCCTAGAGTCATGATATTTAGCTGAAAGCTTTGTTGGTGGGAGCCTGACAAAGTTTGAAAACGAAAATGACCTTGACCTTAACTTTCAAGGACACAGGGGTCAAATATGTCAAAAACTTCAAACGACATCTGATGAAGATCTAAAAGGTATAGAATCTTCATATTTGGCTGATGGCTTCCTGGGATTGGGCCCAACGATGTTTGAGAATGAAAATGATCTTGACCTACTTTCAAGGTCACGAGGGTCAAATGTGTCTTACACTTCAAACGACTTTTTCTGAATAACTAAAAGTAATATAAAATAATCTTCCTATTTGGCTGGTAGCTTCCTGGGATAGAGCCCAACAATTTTGCTATGACTGCTTAAATATTCAGGTGAGCGATACAGGCCCTCTTGGGCCTCTTGTTTATATTATCAATTGAAGATTTTCACATCCAACAAATTAAACCAAGCATCTCCACAAATATTCACAAAACTTGTTTTTTACACATCTATCTCTACAATATCCTATTCATACTTTTTTTGTGACATTAAGGCCCTTTAAACATCTGTCCAATTTTGACCGGACAGTGGACATATTATGGTATGGGAATCTAGAGTGGGAAAAATCAGTTACTCGCTAATTGGGGATCTTAAGTTGGAGAAACAATAAACAATTGTAACAAAAAATGAAAATGACATTCTTGAACTAGCTCAGAGTCGATCCTTATATCATTTTTGCAGGAATTCTATGAGCACACAGAGATCCTCTGGAAGGACAAGGGAGTGCAGGCATGTTACGAAAGGTCCAACGAGTACCAGCTCATCGACTGTGCTCAGTAGTAAGTATTTCTTCCTGTCGCGTTGTTATTTTGTAGTCTCTTTCCAGAGATGCACTGTTTCTCTGTAGAAAAATGTTCATCCTGTCACGTCGTAATTCTGTAGTCTCTTCCCAGAGATGCACTTTTTTCTTCATTTTGTATTTTGATCACATTAACAAACTTTTCCCCAAAATTATAAGTAAAATAAAACAGTAAATATAAAAGTTTATTGGTTTCCATGGTAACTGAAACAATCCTATAAATAGGAACTTCCAAATGATGTCTGTCTGACCATACAGTAAGGTGTAAATAGTAGAGGTGTCTGTAGGGGTGGGTATTGCAGGACTATATATGATGATTGGAGATGACTTACAATGTATATGTTCACAATGAAAAAGTCAACATTGATGCATAATTATGTTCATTGAACAATAACTGAAAGCAATGAAATTAATTGAAATGTACACAGAAACATTGTTAAAAGTAAATCTCTAATTGATAATTAAAACCCTCGCAACGAAGTTGGGGGGGGGGGGGGGGGGGGGGGTATGGTATACTGGAATCCCCCTGTCTGGATTTCTGTCTGTCTATCTTCCACAGTAACTTGTCCGGAAAACTCCTCCTTAACTAACAGGTGGATTTCATTGAAACTTTGCATGAATGATCGGTATCTTATGTAGTTGTGCACCGGCATTTTAATTTGGGATTTCAACCCTTTTTGATGGAGTTATCCCCCTTTGTGCGAAATAAATCAGTTTTGTTATTTAATTTTTTGTTTTTAATAAAATAGTGATTAACTCGATACTGGTAGGAGACTATATTGCTTTGCATAAGTCAGCCTTTAGCTTACAGTTCTGGTTGATATAGGAGTGGGGGTATTAGTTGGCCTTTGGCTTACAGTTCTAGTCGACACAGAAGTTGACTTAGTTGAGTAACTGAGTTTGTCTGTAGAAGTTGCTTGTCCATTCCTCCACACCTTCCTTAGCATTGACATCATCATCCTATTCTAAATGGGATAAAATTACCAGTCTGGCCTATCAATGAACAGCATTCTATCCTTTCTATGCCTAAAATCGTCCCATTTGTTTGAGCTTAACACTATCTATGAACATGAAGGAACAAAGAAGTTTGTCTGTCCATTTCCTTAACTTCCTCACATTTAATACTTTAAAAACAGTATTTTGAAATTGTATGGCGATACATCGTTTCCATTTTCATATTGCAGTAGTTGGTACTGACAATAAAGCCAACCATGTATCTAATTGATTTATCTAAGGATGATGACAAAAACATCAACAGTGAAAGACACCTTACCAAACATCGCTTAAGTGGTGGAATGTAATTGCATTCCTTACTTGCATATGTGTGATTGTGCAGCTTTCTTGTCTACACGGAAATGGAAGATAATGCAATCGATGCTGTTGCCTTGTTCTCTCAAACAATGCAATTCATCACTATTTTATCTATAGTCGTAGGTCTCACTACAAATAACAGCCCATTTCATTGGTTGAAGGCACAAACGGGTGGATTGAAGTTGAGAAAATGATTTGCATAATTAATTGGCATACTGTGCACGGTTTGTTAAGTTTTCACCCATTACCAGGTAACTTGATTTAAATGACTCGATTTCGATGATAATTGGTCGATATTCATACTACCCCCCTTAATCATATTTCAACCGGATTTATTAAAATCTCTCTTAAGACCAGTGAATCAGGCTCTGGGATCATGAAACAATCTAAGACTTAAGATTTTGCTTAGCCAATCACGTATGATGTCACTTTTCATGACATTATTTGTGGTTGGTTAAGTCAAAACTTAAGACGAGTTTAGCCTTAATAGGAAGTTCATTTCATGATCTTGGGGCCAGGATGGGTATTGCCTCTCTGAATGGGGAGAGACAAATGCCAAAGCTGGAAAATACTACTTTGCCCTGATTGTAAAAACATTAAGGTGAGTGCTCCATTAGTTAATGAAATTTGAGTGGAGCACAGTGTTCCAAAAATGAGTGTCAAAAGAACACCGAGATGACAGGTACTAGACTCGTCTGTCAATACACCCATACTATAATCACAGGTACTAGCCTCGCCTGTCAATACACCACAATGGTATGTAGTGTACACACGTCACAATGATATGTAGTGTACACATGTCACAATGATCTGGTGTGTACGCATGTCACAATGATATATAGTGTACACATGTCCCAATGATCTGTTGTGTACTCATGTCACAATGATATATAGTGTACACATGTCCCAATGATCTGTTGTGTACTCATGTCACAATGATAAGTTGATTGGAAAGAATTATAATCAAACTTCACATTACTATGTAATACTCGTTTAATTAGTAAATTCTATCCAATCAACGTACTCATGTAATCCCTCAGTACGTTGATTGGATAGAATTATAATCAAACTTCACATTACTATGTAATACTCGTTTAATTAGTAAATTCTATCCAATCAACGTACTGAGGGATTACATGAGTACGTTGATTGGATAGAATTATAATCAAACTTCACATTACTATGTAATACTCGTTTAATTAGTAAATTCTATCCAATCAACGTACTGAGGGATTACATGAGTACGTTGATTGGATAGAATTTACTAATTAAACGAGTATTACATAGTAATGTGAAGTTTGATTATAATTCTTTCCAATCAACTTATCATTGTGACATGAGTACACAACAGATCATTGGGACATTAGGACACTACATATCATTGTAACATGCGTACACAACATATCATTGTGACATACGTACACAACAGATCATTGGGACATGTGTACACTATAGATCATTGTGACATGGGTACACTACATATCACTGTGACGAGTATGTCACTACATATCATGTATACAGATACTGGTCAGTATGTATGCATACAGACACTGGTCAGTGTGTATGTACACAGACACTCGTCAGTGTGTATGTATACAGACACTGGTCAGTGTGTATGTATACAGACATTGGTCAGTATGTATGCATACAGACACCAGTAAGTATAGGTATGTATACAGATACTGGTCAGTATGTATGTGTAACAGACACTGGTCAGTATATATGTACACAGACACTGGTCAGTGTGTATGTATACAGACACTGGTCAGTGTGTATGTACACAGACACTCGTCAGTGTGTATGTACACAGACACTGGTCAGTATGTTTGTGTACATACAGTAGTCAGTATGTATGTATACATACATACTCGCATGTCACAATGATCTGTTGTGTACGCATGTCACAATGATATGTAGTGACATACTTGTCACAGTGATATGTAGTATACACATGTCACAATGATATGTAGTGTACAGATTTCGATATAATCCTGGTGTACACAAATGCATATAAAAAAAGTTGTACCAAGTATGTATGAACAGAAAAGTAGACTTTTAAGTCGCACAGCAAATGTCGATTTCAGCCTCTCTTTGGAATGTTGTTAACCTTGGGCCAGATCAATACATTGTACACTGTATAATACAGAAGCAATTCTTCATAACTGCTAAATATGGATAAAGTATAATGTTGGAATACTTTAGCTGGTTAACTGCCAGGTGTTTACAATGAAATAAATAAGAGTAAACCAGTCATGTTTTCGTGGATAGGAAATGAAATCATTCAAGTTGATAGTGTATGAAACTAATCAATATTCTGTAAAATGCTTTCTCATCCTAGAGACCAGTCTGAATTCTGTACAAGGTATCTTGTGTGTATACATACTGGCCCATGTCTGTATACAAAAATACTGACCAGTGTCTGTTATACATACATACTGACCAGTGTCAGTGTACACATACATGCTGACTGATTTCTGTATACATAAATACTGACCAATTACTGTATGCATACATTCATACTGACCAGTGTCTGTATACAAACTTACCAATGTCTGTATACATACATACTGACCAGTGTCTGTATACATATATACTGACCAGTGTCTGTATACATACACACTGACCAGTGTCTGTATACATATATACTGACCAGTATTTGTATACATACCTATACTGACTGGTGTATGTATACATACATACAGACCAGTATCTGTATACATACACACTGCCCAGTGTCTGTATACATACATACTGGCTACTGTATGTACACAAACATACTGACCAGTGTCTGTATACAACATACCGACCACCGTCTTTATACATAGATACTGACCACTCTCTGTTTCATACAGTCTTACCACTGCCTGTACACATACATTTTTACCACTGTCTTTATACATAGATACTGATCACTGTCTGTACACAACCATACTGACCAGTGTCTGTATACATACACACTGACCAGTGTCTGTATACATACACACTGACCAGTGTATGTATACATATATACTGACCAGTATTTGTATACATACCTATCCTGACTGGTGTATGTATACATACATACAGACCAGTATCTGTATACATACACACTGCCCAGTGTCTGTATACATACATACTGGCTACTGTATGTACACAAACATACTGACCAGTGTCTGTATACATATATACTGACCAGTATTTGTATACATACCTATCCTGACTGGTGTATGTATACATACATACAGACCAGTATCTGTATACATACACACTGCCCAGTGTCTGTATACATACATACTGCCCAGTATCTGTATACATACACACTGCCCAGTGTCTGTATACATACATACTGCCCAGTATCTGTATACATACACACTGACTACTGTATGTACACAAACATACTGCCCAGTGTCTGTATACACCATACCGACCACCGTCTTTATACATAGATACTGACCACTCTCTGTTTCATACAGTCTTACCACTGCCTGTACACATACATTTTTACCACTGTCTTTATACATAGATACTGATCAGTGTCTGTACACAACCATACTGACCAGTGTCTGTATACATACATCCTGACCAGTATCTGTATGCATACATACTGACCAGTATCTGTATAACTACACACTGACCAGTGTCTGTATACATATATACTGACCAGTGTCTGTATACATACACACTGACCAGTGTCTGTATACATATATACTGACCAGTGTCTGTATACATACACACTGACCAGTGTATGTATACATATATACTGACCAGTATTTGTATACATACCTATCCTGACTGGTGTATGTATACATACATACTGACTAGTATCTGTATACATACCTATACTGACCAGTATTTGTATACATA